TTTTGCCGGGGCTGGGTTTGAACCTACCACCTCCTGCCTATGGGGCCGATGCCCTACCCTTTTGAGCCACAGGTGCCGCCCCTTGATAGCTTTTTTTATTATAGTTGCCTACTTTAAGAAAAGGTCGTCTTGCTTTTGTTAACATTAGTTGTATCATTTTATGTAAGTGGCATGCTAGCTTTTAAGGAGTTGTTATATGATGCTAATTTATTTAATAAAAATTAAGTATTTTTAATAATTATTAGCTTGTAAGTCTGTTTTCTGTTATTTTGTGTTCTATGTAGATTCTTCTCTACATTTTACAGAGATACTCAATGTAAAGTCACAAGATCTGCACAAGTGCATTGCCAGAAGCCATATAACACGTAACAAATTTTTACAAATTTTGCAAAGAGAAGATTATGTTACTCAAAAATATGAGGAATATGTGCAGTAAGTAACACTTTGGTAGTTAGAAAACAATTTCTTTTTGAACAAATGTCATTAGCATTAAGTAGAAATAATCCATTCCTACCTCAAAAATTTTTCCACTTTAAAGCCAGGTAATTTCTGAATAAAACATAGGCTGTCCCAAACGGAGGTAGGCATACATAGGAGAAATCAACACTCATATTGTATTTTAAGTATTTTTAAAATTTTATTTATTCTTGAGACAGAGGCTCAACCTGCCATCCTGGGTAGAGTACCATGGTGTCACAGCTCACAGCAACCTCAAACTCTTGGGTTCTAGTGATCTTGTTTCAGCCTCCCAAGTGGCTGGGACTGTAGGTGCCTGCCATGATCCCTGGGTGATTTCCTATTTTCCCTATGTGTGTGGTCATGTTTGGGACACCTTATATTTTAAAACTAAAAGGAAAGTTTAGAGAAAAAGAAAAGATGACTTTAGTTCAGAAAATTCCATTTTTTTACATGCTTTTTTAAAAATATGGAATATATATATATATATTTTATAGAGGCAGAGTCTCACTTTGTCACCCTCAGTAGAGTGTTGTGACATCACAGCTCACAGCAACCTCCAGCTCTTGGGCTTAGGTGATTCTCTTGCCTCAGTCTCCTGAGTAGCTGGGACCTTAGGCGCCCGCCATAATGCCTATTTTTTTGCATTAATTAATGGCTATTTTTGTTGCAGTTTGGCTGGGACTGGATTCAAACCCGCCACTCTCGGTATATGGGGCCAGTGCCCTACTCACTGAGTCACAGGCGCCCTGGAGAATATATTTTTAAGCTATAATTTTAGTGTTCATTCTGTTTTTATCCTTTTTATTTTAATATTTTATTCTGTAATTTTTCCATATTATCATAGTGTGTTACTTTAAGTGTCTGATAGATTGTTGAGTAGATATTGCATTATGTAGGTATTTCTTCAAGTAAGTATTCCATTATTTCGTTAACCATTTTGTACTATTTTACATTTAGGTTCATCTATTCAGCAAACATTTTTGTTTGAGTTTCTTCTATGTGTTAGATACTGGTTAGGCACTGGTGCTACAGCATTAAATAAGACAGACAAGGTTCTTACTCTTGAATAATAGGTTTTGCTTAATTAAAGTAGGAATTTTTTTTTTTTTTTTTTTTTGAAACAGAGTCTTATTATGTTGTCCTTGGTAGAGTACTCTTGGGCTTAAGTGATTCTCTTGCCTCAGCCTCCCAAGTAGCTGGGACTATAGGTGCCTGCCACAACGCCTGGCTATTTTTTGGTTGCAGTTGTAATTGTAGTTTAACAGTCCCAGACCAGGCTTGCACCCACCAGCTTCAGTGTATGTGGCTGGCACCCTAACACACTGAGCTATGGGTGCCGAGCCAAAGTAGGAAAACTTTTTATTTATTTATATATTTGCTTGTTTATTTTATTTATTTTGTTTTGAGACAGAGTCTTACTTTGTCGCTCTTGCTGTGGCGTCATAGCTCACAGCAACCTCAAACTCTTAGGCCCAAGCAATACTCTTGCTTCAGTTTTTTCATTTTTAGTAGAGATGGAGTTCTCACTTTTGCTCAGGCTGGTGAGCCGAAGTGATCTACCTGCCTTGCCTCTCAGAGTGCTAGGATTACAGGTTTGAGCCACTGCTTGCCTGGCCTTATGGAAAACTTTTTTTTTTTTTTGGTAGAGATAGAGTCTCACTTTATTGCCCGCAGTAGACGGCCATGCTGTCACAGCTCACAGCAACCTCCAATTCCTGGGCTTAGGTGATTCTCTTGCCTTAGTCTCCCAAGTAGCTGGGACTACAGGCGCCTGCCACAACACCTGGCTTTTTTTTGGTTGGAGTTTGGCCAGGGCTGGGTTTGAACCTGTCATCTTCCCTAAATGGGGCCGGTGCTCTACTTACTGAGCTGCAGGTGCTGCCCAACTGCTTTGTTTTCTATTAACAGCTACAGAGTCCTTTGACATAGAATTGACAAGTAGTCTGATTTATAGATAACATTAAATTTACCCTGCAGGTATGTGAGATAAGGATAATGGAGTAGTCTTACTCACCTTCATCCTTATATTCTGATAAGGCAGGGAGTAGCCTACCCTAGAGGTCCTAGTCCTAGTTCATCCCAGCTGCAGCCTGTATGTTAGATCAGTTGTGTGACTGTAAAAGGGAGTTTTTGTGTCAGTTGGCTATTGGGTGTGCCCATAGTAAAAACAGGAAAAGGGAAAATATCAAAGCAGGCTAAACTAGTTAATCATGATGTAATTATAGCATCATTTTGTGTGTTTGCTTGCAGGTTATTAGTTAAGCAAGTACGAAATTTAAGGTCTGAATGTATAGGACTGCAAAACCAAATACAAAAGTAAGTGACTTTAGAGCTGGAAGGTGTCTTAGATGTTAGTTTAGCTGTTGCATTTTATGGTTGAAGAAAAAGTGCATCCCAGAAACATAAACTAATATATCTATAGCCAGATTATGATAGGACTACAGTGTAGTTATGACTCCTAGTCTAGTTCTCCTTTAGTAAGGAGAGTGCAGTGGTGTTGTCATAGCTCCCTATACCCTATATTCTTGGGCTCAAGCAATCCTCCTGCCTCAGCCTCTTCAGTAGCTGGGACTATAGGCATTCTCCACTATGCCTAGCTAACCTTTTATGCTTTTTTTGTACAAGAGAAGGGGTCTCACTACATTGCCCAGGCTAGTCTAGAACTCCTGTGCTCAAGAGATACTTTCATGTGGGCCTTTCAAAGTTTTGGGATTACAGGCATGAGCCACCATGCCTGGCTTTAACTTTTATTTTTGTTTTTATTTTTGAGACAGAACCTCAAGCTGTTGCCCTGGATAGAGTGCCATGACATCACAGCTCAAAGCAACCTCCAACTCCTGGGCTTAAGCGATTCTCTTGCCTCAGCCTCCCAAGTAGCTGGGACTATAGGCGCC